CTTCATATGGGACCTGTTCCAAACCCCTAATCATTTTAGTTGCCCTTTTCTGAACCCTTTCCAAGGTCAAAATATCTTTTTTGAGGTGAGGAGACCACATCTGTACACAGTACTGAAGATATGGTGTACCATAGTTTTATACTTCCCCTCCTCCTTCTTCCCCTGGCTTCCCCCTTCCAGCTTCCTCCTCCCAGGTTTCCCCCTCCCCTTTCCCACCCTCTCTCTTCCCCTCTCCCACCTCCTTTTCCCAGGCTCCCCAGAGGTTAATCCCACTACCCTAGTTTTGTTAAATAAAGAGAGTTTCTATTTTTGAACACGTGTCCTTTATTTTTTACATCAGGAAGGGGGGCTAGGGAAGGGTAAGTGGAAGGAGGTGAGGGAGGAATGGGGCACGAGTCCCCAGTGGGGAGGACTGGGGTGGCTCTGCAGGCTCCTCGGGGTGGAAGCTCTCCTGCAGGGCCTCCTGGATACTGACAGCCCTCTGACTGACCCCCCCGGATGGCAGCCTGCGGCAAGTGCAGCCAGGCTGATGGCCGAGTGCTGTGATGTGCCGAGTGTGGGCACTCAGGGCACTCCAAGACAGGTCTGCTTTGCTGTCCCTCATCGAGGTAGACAAGCAAGCGGGGAATCCTGAGAACGGTCTGTCTGGGGTGGGGGTTGTGTCCCTTTAAGCACAGCCCTCGGCTAGCCTGAGGCAGCCACGCTCTAAGTCCTAACCTGATGCCCTGCCGGCACTGGTTCCGGCCAGCCTTAACTTCGGTTCAGGGTCCACTCAATGTAGACATGCAAGTTCGAATTAGCAAAATGCTAATTCAAATTAGTTTTTCGGTCTAGATGCACTAGTTCAAATTAGCTTAGTTCAAATTAACTAATTCGAATTAAGTTAGTTCGAATTAGTGCTGTAGTGTAGATATACCCTTCGAGTCTATGAGATCAGCCTTTAAAGCAATACAGTTACAAGCTTCAATCTGATTCCTTGTTGTGGAGCAGTATAACAGAGATACACTGCTCCGCCTTGGGAATTGCCCCAGTACCAGAGGGTGCTCGCCACAGCAAAGGGCAGAATAAGTGGCTATGGAAAGCAATATTTATCAAACTGGGCTTACCCAGCTCTGGGCCTGATCCAGAGTCCATTGAAGTCAACGGAAAGGCCTCCTATCTTCTGTGACTACAGCTGAGCAGTACCATGTAAAATCTAACTATGTTCTCCCAGGTATGTTCAAACACAAAGGCCATGTCTCCACTCGCGGCTTCTTGTGTGAGTAATATGCAAATATTTGCATAGCTAAGGAGCCGCCATTTTTGCAGAAGAGGCTCTTGAGCCAGAAGGAGCTGTCTACACTGCCCCTTCTTGTGCAACAGGTCTTCCTGAAAATAATCAGCATAACGGCATTGCGCAAGAGGGTTTTTGTTGCGCAAGAAGGGGCAGTGTTAGACCCTCTTCTGCAAAAATGGCGGCTCATTAGCTATGCAAATGAGGCTCGGCTATATTCCACACTTAGCCTCGCTTGCATATTACTCGCGCAAGAAGCTGCAAGTGTAGACATAGCCAAAGTGTAAGGAGCTCTCTGAAAACATCCGCACAATCTCTACGGTCTCCTGCCCGTCCTGCCTCAAACGCTCCTTTGCCAGGAGGCCTACAAATGGCGAGGCAGCTGCAACCACTGCTGATTATGATCAGAATCCTCTGTGACCATGTGCCCCTCTCTATTGAGTTATCCCAGAGACACACACCTCCTTGAAAGTAGGAATAAGAGATCCTCCGGAAAAGGCTTTATTTTCCGGAGAATCACGTCTAGACTGGCGCTTTTCTCCGGCTTATCTCCAAGCCGGGAAAAAGCGGCAGCCATGTTAATGCAAATACCGCGGGGGATATTTAAATCCCCCGCGGATTTGCCTATTCCAAAGTGCTACATTAGCATCCCTTTTCCGGAAGGGATGCCAGTGTAGACACAGCTCTTGTATTTAATGGATAAGCTCTTTGAGACAAAGACAGTGTTTTCACTGCGTGCATGAACAACAAGCTGTGTCCATTCCAAGGGGGGCCGGAGATGCCCCCGTATGGCCAATAATATTCATAACGAAGAAAAGAAAGTTAACCGATAATGTACGAAGTGCAACTTCAGCCTAGAGGGGATGGGTTGGCTATAACAATGCTGGATGTCTAGGGGTGGGGAGCAGGACACCCTTGTTTCGTCCTCCATGGCTTTGAAGGTATCGCTCCAGACTAGTCCAAAAGATCTGCAGTTTGAAAGTGCAGGGTGAAGCTCACCTGTTTTCCAAAGCTTTTGTTGGATGAGGTGACTGTGGGTACATTGTTAGGCCAAGGAGCGGTGTTTTTATGGGGGGGTTTTCAAATGTGTGCAGCGATTGTCTGATGGGGCCTTTTCTCAAGGAAAACAAAGTGGCATATCAATAGGGGGCCAGGTGTGCTGCTGGCCACAGTAAGGGGCAGCCTAGACCCGCCCCATGCAAATCAGAACAGTACAAGACAGGGGCTTCCATGCTGCCTGGCTCTGATGGGTTTGTTTTGCTGAGCACCCTAAGATAGCGAGGGAGCAGATGCACCTGGCCTTTCCTGGGTCTGTATCTGAAGGAATTATATTCTCTTGTAATTTCAATGACTGTATTTGTCAACAAAGAAGGAAAACGAAGGCTGGAGTGAAAGTTCAGGGGTGAGAATGGGCAGGGGGTGGGTGGCTTAGGATAGAGAGTTGGCGGTGTGGGGGGCTCATGGCAGGGGAAGTGTGTGGGGGGGACTCAGGGTAGGGAGAGGTGGTGCTGAAGCTAAGGCAGGTGGGAGGTGCAGGACTCAGGGCAGGGAACTTAGGATGGGGGGACTGGGAGGGGGAGGAGCTTACTGGGGCCATACATGGCGACAAAGGTGGTACTGGTCCAGTGGCCACACCTCCCAAGGAGCTGGGGTAGTGCTCCCCTACCCCCTCCCTTTCCATGTTGTGGAAAATAGTCCCACTCCCAGCACTTCCCATTTTCCAGGCTCAACCATATCCTGAAATTGATTTTAATTAAGGTAAGAGGAAGCTGCACACCTAATTTGGTGGTGCTAGCTCTTACGATTTAGGAGTTCTTGAGCAAATGGGCGCACAGACACACAGACAGACACGCTAAATATACAGAGAGATGCATTGTAAATCACTAGCCAAGGCCATGAAGTCTTCACCATGTGCTAAGTTGATTGGCTGAGTAGGAAAGGACTAAAGCTAGACTTGTGCACAAATGCTTTGCTGAACCACTCTGAGATTTTACCACGTGGGTAACAATAATCTTTTTCTCTCTTGTCATAGCTAAAGTATAAGGACTGCGAAAAGGTCATCAGAAAACACAACATAAATGGACAAAGGTTTCTGGTAAGTGCAATAAAAAATTCAATATCCACAATATAAGTGTCACGTGGCTTTCCCTTGGGTTTGCAGTTAAGAGCTTTCCTTGTATGTTTTATGCTTCGACACAGTTGCTTATGTAGTCAAACCCCGCTATTCGAAAAGGCCTTTAGGAACTTACTTTCCATGTTTTCAGTAAGGCTTAGTCTACACTGCAGGGTTTTTGTGCAAGAAGCCTTTTGTGGAAGAATTCTTGAGCAAAAGTGCATCCACACCTCAAAGCGCATTGCAAAAGCCATCTTCTTTTGCACAAGAGAGTGTCCACACTGCATGGACACTCTTGCACAAGAAAGCTCTGATGGCCATTCACAGAATGGCCATCCAGAGCACCTGTGCTTTTTCCGATAGGGGTTTCTTGCTCAAAAACCCCTCCGGAGCATCCACAACTGCCTTTTTGCCAAGAGCTGTAGCACAAAAAGGAGTTATTCCTCATGGGGAGAGGAATAATTCTACTGGCAAAGGCCCTCATTCTGTTGATTTTCTTGCACAAAAACGTGCTTGAGGTGTGGACGCTCTGCCAGTTTTTGCACAAAAACCTTGTAGTGTAGACATAGCCTAAGAGTTAAGGAGCCTACATACTCGTTAGGCTTAGCTTTTACACCAAAATCCTGGTTTTAAAACATGGACATGAACACCAGGATCCCACTTGCCTGCATTTGGCTTGTATGTACATTTTACTTCAGCTTTTAAACAGAAAATGAAGGTTCACAGCAGCAATATTTGCTTGCTTTTTTTCTGGTCATTTATAGGAAATGCTTGTTTTACATACACTAGCAAAAACCTGCAGCTTGTCAGATTTCCCCGCCTACCTATGTAGAGCTTTGCAACCCACTTGCCTGTGAAAACTAACCCTCTGTCGCAGACATTTGAGCCAAGAACTGCCATTGTAAGCCCCTCTGGTTAAAAACACCGAATGATTGTTTTCTGAAAGTGTGGCGATAATCAATGGTAGTTAAAATTAACACAACTACCAGGTTAAATTCATCAGGGGTGTAATTTACCATGGCTTCACTGAAATTAATGGCTACACTTCGATGCACTCCGCCAGTTCATCTGGCACAACAAACCCGTATTTCTCATTTGTACAGCTGCCGTTGTCTGGTCTTAATTCCACATCACTTGGAGGCATGTTGCTTGACGTGTTTGTTTTGATAAAATCTTCATAACTGTCCTGAAAACACAGCTTGGATATGAGCCTAATGCTCAATCTGCCCTTGTCTTGGAAGAAAAAGAGCATAGGACTGATGAGTCTCTTTGTAGGTGAACCTTGAAGCAGAGCCTAATGCTGCCCTTTGAATGTTTTCATATTTGCTCACATGGATCCTGCTAGTGGTCAGGGTTCAGGTCCCAGATTTCACCCAGGATAAACAGAGTTTTACCTATGAACAATGACTGGTCTCTTGTAAAAGAGAGTGGCATTAGAGAGTTATGCCTTTTCCCCAAGCAACATAATCTGTGTGGCTGTGTCTACACTGGCAAGTTATTCCGGAAAATCAGCCGCTTTTCCGGAAAAACTTGCCAGCTGTCTACACTGGCTGCTTGAATTTCCAGAAAAGCACTGACGATCTCATGTAAAATCATCAGTGCTTTTCTGGAAAAACTATGCTGCTCCCGTTCGGGCAAAAGACTTTTTCCGGAAAACTGTTCGGGAAAAGGGCCAGTGTAGACAGCAGAGTAGTGTTTTCTGCAAAAAAGCCCTGATTGCGAAAATGACGATCGGGGCTTTTTTGCGGAAAAGCGCATCTAGATTGGCCACAGACGCTTTTCCGGAAAAAGTGCTTTTCCGGAAAAGTGTCCTGCCAATCTAGACGCGCTTTTCTGAAAATGCTTTTAACGGAAAACTTTTCCGTTAAAAACATTTCCGGAAAATCATGCCAGTGTAGACGTAGCCTGTAGGTCTTCTCCACATTTGAAGACCTGAACCCATCATAAACATGAGAATTACCTGGATGAGGAGCGATTTGCGCGCTCTAAAAATGGCAGAATCCTAATGGGTCAATCATTGAATGGGGTTGGGCTGTTCTCAGTCTCCTACATGCATACGTTATTTCAAATTTCAGAGCTAGACAGTCCACATCCGGTGCTAATGTCTGTTTTGTACTCTCTGTGGTGTGTTGAACATTCACACAAGATCGGCATTCTAGAGAAACATACCTTCTTTGAGAGGCCCCGACATGCTAATCATCACACAAAGACTTAGTGATAGCCTCATCACAAAACCTTTATGATCTAAGCAGACAAAACAAAGGATAGGAAAGTAAACTGAGGCACAGAGAGTAGAAGTGACTTAGACACAGTAGGTCAGTGGTAGATCCAGGAACGCAAGCCTCCTGAAACTCCCTCAGTGACTTATACATTGTACCACACAGAGATTTATTAGTCTACAAATTACTCACCGTCATTAACTGGAATTACAGAGTAGTGTAAATCAGTGTGAGAAAGTAACACATATACAAAGTAATGAAGTGACTACAAATAGAGCTAGCTGAAAAAAGGAAATAGTTTCACAATCTTTCACCCCTAACGCTTCTCTTTCTTCCCCCTCAAAATCCTATGGAGCATCTCTGTAATTAGACAAGAAGAGGAAAAAAATCACAGAAAATTCATTACAGTTCTTTCCAGCTTCTCATTTGTTTGTTTTGAAACATCAATTTTGAATATCCATCACATTTTGCAATTCAAAACCTCTCAAACCATGTCTGGTAAAAATGAAAGTGAACTCCACAGGATACCATCAATGTGCCCTCTAATCTTTTCCATTCATGTGCAGATTTTTTCCATCCATGAGTGGAATAATACTTTTAAGTGCACTGAGGCATGTGCAAATGTGCACCACCAAAAGAAACTCAAAACCTAGCTGAGGGTGCTCTGCTAATCAGCTAAATGGCATTTTCTTGAGTGACTTGACAAGTGCACAGCTTGCAGACAATATTGGACATCTTTTGCTGGATAGAACAAAAGCTGCTTTAGGATACATTCTAAGTCTTATATTCCTAAAAATTTACAAATTGTTTTTCAGCTCAAATACTAGACTTGAAGGGAAACTTAGGCAGGAAATATTTTCCCCATCCTGTGAAAAGTTTCATCAGAACAAAACGAAGACCTTTCAAACTCTTTCATGAGAGAGAGAATAATATATCTATAGTCCAGAAGTTAGAGTAACTTACACAGAATCCAAATGTCTTGAGCCCAATCCAAATGTCTTGCATTCTGTAGGACTTGCCCCACAGATAAGGATAAATCAGAAAGTTAAGAAACATGAATCTGGCTCTGTTACATGACATGGTATTATTTTTGCATTGCCGGGATCTTTGTATGGCTACATGGGTGAACATGTTTGTTCCTCCACACATCATGTGGTAGTTTTGAGTGACCGGTAAGGTATGGAAAGACAGATGCTATGCAGGGAATCTGGGAGTTAAGGCACTCACCTGATCTTTGGAGACATGTTCAAGTCCCTGCTCCGAATCAGAACTAGCCATTCTATCCTAGCCTGGAGAAGGCTTGTGATGAACGACAAGCCTTATCCTCGCAAAACTCCCAGCCAGTTCTGTTAGACATCGGTGATTAAGAAAAGAAGGGTCTAAGTTCTAGCTCCGCTCTCGCTGCGAAGTCCGGAGTAATCATGATGTGCGGCATAGTAACATTTGTGAAGTTCCTACATGGTCATCATGGATCTTTGACTCCTGCCTTGTTTCCCCAGTGCTTATGATCCATAACCAGTTTAGAGTCTAGTGCCAGTGCATGTATTTCTGCAGAAATGACCTGGAAGACTGAGGCTACATCTAGAGATCTTCTGTAAAAACATTTTTTGAAAGAGAGCATCTACATAGCAAAAGCACAACAAAAAAGCAACCTGCTTTTTCGAAAGATAGCATCCACATTCATTGGACACTATCTCGCATTTCAGTTGTGATTACTGTGGATGGAGTGGCAACCAGGGCACCTGTGCTTTTTCCTGGAGGCCTCTTCTTTCAAAAAAAATACTCTCTTCCACGTCCACACACACCTTTTTCCAAAAGAGCTCTTTCAGAAAAAGGCTTCTTCCTTGCAGAAAGAGGTTTACCGCTGTCAGAAAAACTCCTTCGTTCTTTCAACTTTCTGTTGAAAGAACTCAATAGCAATGTGGAGGTAAATGTAGTTTTTCCTGAAAAACGGTGGTTTTTCCAGAACAACTCTGCAATGTAGACCTACCCTGAGTGGTTGATCTATTCTAGTCAGGCAAGAAGCTCCTGCTTCCTCAATTTTTCCAACATAATTTTGTTTTCAACTTTTTATTACTTGGCCATTGTAATAAAACATTCTGCTTAGTACAGAGGCAAAGCACAAGTGTAACAAGGGAAAGAAATTCAAGTCGAGTTCCAGACTGCAGGGCAATGTGTTAGAAATCAATTGCGTCTCTTTAAGGTAACTGTCTTTTTCTAGTTTACAAAAGTCATTAGAAACTGCCAAATTACATGTGGATACCATAGCTATTGCTAAGAATGAATGTTCATGGGTTTCATGTTCACTCACAAAACCATACAAGCAACTTGCCAATGAAAAAATGGAACCATTCCCCTCAAGAAATCCACTCCCTGGTTTGAGTAATGATTTTTACTCTGCTGACTACTGCATGGAAAAATTGTGCAGATTATATTATAGATTAAATGAACATAATTCTTTAGAAAATACTTTAAAAATTCCTAATTTAAAAATTCATAATTCTTTAGAAAATACATAGAAACTTTAAATAATTTAATAGAGAGACATGTCCTTCCTACAGAATTTTTAAACCAAGATACTGAATTTCAAAGAATTTCATTCCTGTAATAGAGTTCAGAAGGTGGGTTTGAATGTATTATTAAATGTTATGATTCTATGGTATTTGTCCCTAAGAGAAATACATATTTCGCCACATTCTACTAATGTTAGTTCTCCAGAACTAGGGACAGCAGGTAGATTTAGCTCTACGTGGAACATTCTTCCATAGAATAGTTCACCACATTTAATGAGAGACCAATTGTTACCCAAGCTATGTGCACCAGGAAGACGTCAGCCTGACTGCTGGTTCCAAGAAGAGTCTGGAAAGCTGGCAGTTAGAAAAACCAGACACATTTTTACTTGCAAAATAGATCAGCTCCCCAAGGTCATTTTACAGTCGTTTACCACATCCTTCTAAAAGCACACAAATGCTCTGATCTTTCACTTCCTTCATACTGAGCCAAATTGTGCCATAGAGACCTCAGTTGGAGATAATGTGGAACTGCACCTGGTAAGAGGGATGGGCACTTTGGGGAGAAGCTTCTCCTAGTGCAGTAGGGCAGCTCCTTGGGGGAAGGCTGGTTCTCAACTTCTTTCTCTCTCCGCTGTTCCTTGAACACAGCTAGAGCACTAGAAGCTGAAGGAGGGAGCCGGTTCTAAGACAGTTGCTGGTCCTTGCACAAAGTGTGCACAAAGAACAAAGGCAAGGCTTCTTGTGCCCTCCCCCACTGTATTTCACCAGGGCCAGGGACAAGCTGGCCCTGTATTTGTAAGACTTTGTCAGTTGAGCAACAAAGCGTTTGTCATTGACAGAGAGTAACACCCCACCCCCCATGAACAACGAAAGTTTTGCAGTGGCAAGTACGAATGCAAACATTGCTTGGTTGTCAGGGTCGCTCTCCTACCGACAAGGCAAATGTTTGCCATTGGGGGTGGAAGTGTTTTTATCTGCAAAAGCGCAGCTGAACAACATTTACAGGGCCTGACTTTTAGCGCCAGAGCTGTGTCAACACAGTTGTGCTGCTAAAAGCTGTGTAAGAACATAAGAACAGCTATACTGGGTCAGAGCAAAGGTCCATCTAGCCCAGTGTCCTGTCTGCTGACAGTGGCCAATACCAGATGCCCCAGAGGGAGGGAACACAACAGGTAATCCTCACATGATCCCTCTCCTGTCACCCATTTCCAGACAAACAGAGGCTAGGGATACCAATCTTACCCATCTTGGCTAATAGCCATTAATGGACCTAACCTCTGTGAATCTATCTAGCTCTTTTTCTGAATCCTGTTAAAGTCCTAGCCTTCATCACATCCCCTGGCAAGGAGTTCCAGAGGTTGACTGTGTGCTGAGTGAAGAAAAACCGTTTGTTTGTTTTAAACCTGCTGTCTATTCTTTTCATTTGGTGACCACTAGTTCTTATATTGTGGGAATAAGTAAATATCTTTTTCTTACTCACTTTTTCAATACCAGTTATGATTGTATAGATCTCTATCATATCCCCCCCTTGGTCTCCTCTTTTCTAAGCTGAAAAGTCCCAGTTTTTAAAATTTTCCTTATATGGGACCTGTATAAGAACATAGTGTAGTATAGGCATATCCTGAACTTATGAAAAAAAGTAAATAACCCAACACTCCATTTCCCTAAAACTTAAAAAAGGGATTTTAAAACCAGCTAGTTTTGTACAAACCTTGAGTTTGTACCTTATGCTTCTGCAGACATTAAATTTTTTGTGTGTAATCCACACTATGTGATCTCTTGTTATTATTACATCATGCTGAATAGTATCCTTAGGATTGTCTGTGCATGTTCCCATGGCGGGTAGTAACTATATCCGAGTGTGTTGCCAGCATTAAATTTCTGACCCAGTCAAACAAACCTAGCCCCCATTTCTCAGTTTTATATTGACACTATGTGAAGCTCAGTTTCACATGAGTTTACTGCTCAGGTTGGAGAACCTGGGTGGTTTCAAAGGAGTGCAGTGGGGAGTTTTTGAGTTGGTTCCACCCCAGACTCATTGCGGAATAAAAAGGTGTGAATACCGTATGAATCAAAGAGCACTTGATGCAAATTGAGTATGAATCAAAGAGCACATGAGACACAAAACCACAGATCATTGCCCACCTCTGCTTCCCACAGGCAGGAACAGCTCTTCTCATTGAAATGCACATAAAGCTTTCAAAATGGCAACAGTTAAAAAAGAACCCCGTCTTATTCTGTAGGCCTCTGTGAGAGAAGCAGAATTCAGGTATTGCTAGGAGACAGGGCTGGCGACAGACCTTGCTGAACCCTCGGTAACGGGGGAGAGGCTTGGCTCCAGATGCCAGAAGGGGTGGGGCCTCAGGTAGAAGGGGCGGGGCTCCAGGCTAACCTCCCCTAGCCAGCCCTCAGTGCTGCTTGACCAGTGCTGTGTGGGAGTTCAGCAGCAATTTAAAGGGCCCAGGGTTCTGGCTGTGGCTGTGGTACCAGCCTGGAACCCCAGGCCCTTTTAAATCAACTAACCTCATTGCTCTTACCCCTCATTAGCAGTCCTGCCAGCAGAAGAGCTATGGCTGTCTCTGAGGACATCAGTAGACTCTATGAGCTGTGTTGGGAGTTCATGTCTGTCACCATCCGGGTTAGACCTCCAGGAGATGTGGATCTCCACTTTCTGTGTGACTTGGGGCAGAGAGGTGGGACTTTTCACTTCTTTGGAACCAGACACTAACCAGGACACGTTACAGGGAATAGGCGGTCGGAAGAAAAGTTTTTATTTACTGTCCTTACGTGCAGCATGTCAGCATTTTAAATCACAGCCCACAGTAACACAAAGGGCCAACCCGGCAGTATAGCTCCAGCAGAGACCCAATTTAGGGCACAAAAGAGCAAGGCACCTAAGCAAACACCTAAGTTTAAGCACATAGGTAGTTCTATAGTAGGGCTTGGGAAACTTTTTTGGGTTGGGGGCCACTGACCCACCAAAAAATCAGTGTGGAAAAAAACCTTCACCGTGGCCCCCGACTGAGGAGAAAGACACTCCCCACATTTCCCGCATATCAGAACCTGGGACGGGGGGCAGCCTAGTAGATTTTGTGCACTCCAGCCCTAGAGGGTTTGCCAGGGGGCTGGAGCACCAGCACGGGCTCCCTAATGCTGAGGTGGGGGCTGAGCTTCGGGGGCCATATCCAGGCAAGCCGAGGGCCGCATCCGGCCCCTGGGCCTGAGTTTCCCCACCCCTGAACTACAGACTTCACATTAATGCCTAAAATTAGGCATATGCTTAGTATTTTGTTGAAGTGGGTCCTAAACACTGGACAAGGCTTAAGTTTGTACCTGTTCTTCATTCATTTTCTTTTACTTTTATTACAGCCCTATTCATTATAAATTTTTGACACAAGAGAATATAAAACAAGACGTTACATGAACAATATTGTAACATTTCCCATGTGTGTTTCCATTTCAGAGCATGTCTGAAAATGATATTCAGAAATTTCCCAAGCTGAGCATGCCGTAAGTAAACCCAAACCGAATCTCGTATTTCACCATGGATGATACTTTGTCTGGGTTGGAAATATTACTCTGGGACAAGCACTAAGCAAGTGAATGGAGAGGTCTCTAAACTCCTGCTGTTTGTGTTGTCTTGGGAAAGGAAAGAATAGATTCCTAGACGAAAAACAAGCGAGTCAGGGGAAGGGGGGCTAATCTGCCTGGTGGTCATTATTATTGTGGGGCAAATAATCAGATACCGATGTCTTGACAATTGAGATCACTTTGGTCCCCATTCAAGCCAATGGCAGAGCTCCAATTATCTTCAAAGGAAGAAACTTGGCTTGTGCTTTTGAAGGTCCCGCCTGTTGCATTGGATTTCATTGCTCACTTGGAGATGGGACTTCCATTCTGAAGGGGAAAATATGAAAGATGTCAGATTGAACACTACAGGTTGAAGCTCTATAGTCCAGGACTCTCTGGCCTGGTGATATCTAGGGTCCAGCATCGTTGGGGACCCAGTGGGTTGGCACACTCATAGGGGGAAAAAGCCAGTGCAGCAGGACACTGGATGTTGCCAGACCAGAGAGCTGGGTCAGCAGCTGAATGAAAAGCCCTGGGGATGAGGGCTGATGTCTCAACTCAGTGACTGGAGCTGGGTCCAGGAGCCAGAGCCCGGTAGCCTGGAGTGGAGCTCTGGTGGCCAGAACCAGGGGCCGATGGCCTGAAGCAGAGAGGGTGGCATTGACTTCCCCCAGAGCTTTTGAATCATCGGGCCCCGAGTCATTTGCCTCCTTTGCGTACGCACACACACACACACACACACACCCCGTCCCCGGTTGATGGGCCTGCTGAAAATGATTGGCTTAATAAGACCAAAAGAATGAGAGAGATCTTCCAAAATAGGCAAAGGAACTTTTCTCCTTCAGAGTGAGATCTCGCGACAGCAGATCTCACTGCTACTCACTGTGAATTTAAAGCTAACATTAATCAATAGCTATGCTACGATGGATGGGAAATACTCAAATTAGCTCAAATGCCTTCCAGTCATCTACCCACAGCTGCACAGGAAAGTTATTCCAACCTGAGGTCACATGCTTCAGTCTGATTGATCCTTTATAGGTATCTAAACATGATGGGGCATACTAAAAAACACCCAGAAAGTAACTATATGAGGGTATGTCTACACTACCCCGCTAGTTCGAACTAGCGGGGTAGTGTAGACATACCCTCATATAGTTACTTTCTGGGTGTTTTTTAGTATGCCCCATCATGTTTAGATACCTATAAAGGATCAATCAGACTGAAGCATGTGACCTCAGGTTGGAATAACTTTCCTGTGCAGCTGTGGGTAGATGACTGGAAGGCATTTGAGCTAATTTGAGTATTTCCCATCCATCGTAGCATAGCTATTGATTAATGTTAGCTTTAAATTCACAGTGAGTAGCAGTGAGATCTGCTGTCGCGAGATCTCACTCTGAAGGAGAAAAGTTCCTTTGCCTATTTTGGAAGATCTCTCTCATTCTTTTGGTCTTATTAAGCCAATCATTTTCAGCAGGCCCATCAACCGGGGACGGGGTGTGTGTGTGTGTGTGTGTGTGCGTACGCAAAGGAGGCAAATGACTCGGGGCCCGATGATTCAAAAGCTCCTGGGCCTCCCAGCTGCCTCTGCCACTACTGCAGCAGTGGCTGGAGCCCCGGCCCTTTAAATCACAGTTGGAGCCCTAGGCGGTGCACTGCGGGTGGCGATGAAGGGCTGGTGAGGGGAAGGTTACTCCAGCCCCGGCCCTTCTGCCTGAGTCCCCTCCCCTTCCAGGAGTGCGGAGACACCCCCTCCCTCCTAACCTAAGGGCCCAACAATCCTGACAGATCCCTGGTTTTCAGTTATTTGATGATCCCGCCCCCCCTCCCTGTTTTTTGCTGTTCTCTTAGGCTTGCAGTCTTCTGGGGGGGGGGGGCGTTATTTCAAATTTTTCATATTTTGGGGCTTTGGAGTTATTGTCTTTCAAATCCACTGTTATAATATTGGTTTCTTAGAGTGACTTGACAAAATAACTGATATATGAGTGTCTTAGGCAAGTAGAGCATAGAGACAAACTAAATATAGGAGTCATCCCTTGCTCCCCCTGTATTTTATCGATTGGGAAAAGATAAATTATGTATTTTCTTTGTCCACTTTGCCTGTACTGTGGTAGAATGGGAGCAAATTGTCTGGTATGGTTACTTGCTGCTTCTCACTTAGGACGTGAACCTACAGACCTGGGAATACAAGGTCTTCAGCTCAGAGGAGTGAGTAAATCAGATGATAGAAATGTTTGAAAGTAATACAGCCAAAGAAAAACTGTAGAATTAGTGAGTTTCATATTAGACAGAGTGAAAGCTACAGAATAAGGACAACAGACTTCAGAAAAAAGCAGATTATAAATTAACTCAAGGACTGGTGCGATCCCAGTGAAAGAAAATTTCGGGATGAAAGGCAGCTAGGGAAGCCAACCATTTCTCAAAGAAACAATATCAAAGATGCAACTGCAAAAGATCCTGATACAAAGGAAAACCTGGAAGAACAGTACCAGGTTCAACAGCTCTTTGATGATCTAAAATCAAAAAGTGGACACACGAACAAATAACTAAGGATGAGCACAAAAGAAGAGCACAAAGCATGGGAGCACAATTCAGACTAAGGAACAGAATTAGTTACATCTGGCAAGGGACATAAAAGGCAGTATGGAGAGAATCTTTCAATACATTCAGAGCAAGAAAAGGAAGAAAGAAAATGTAAGTCTCCTGTTTAGCAGGGCAAGAGAACTAATAATAGACCATCCTAAGAAGGCTGAAGGGTTTAATGACTATTTTGCTTCAGTCTTCACCTAAATGCTTCATTGTGACCAGAAGCTCCATACAATTAATATTAATACATGGGGGGAGGCAGGGAAACAAAGTAAGGAACATTTAGATGAGTTCGATGTTTCAGATTGGCAGGGCCTGATGAAAAGCACCTTTGGGTACTTAAGGAATGAGCTGAAGCAATTTTGGAATCATTCGTCATTGCAAACTCATAGAGGAAAGTTGTCCAGATGACTGGAGAAAGGCAAACATAGCACTTTTGTTTGAAAAAGGGACCGAGGACCCAAGGAATTATGGACCAGTCAGCATAACTTTGATACCTGGAGGGATACTGGAACAAATTATTAAATAATCTGTTTGTAAGCATCTAGCAATAATGGGGTGATAAGCAAGAGCAATAAATCATGCTAAAGCAAGCTAATTTATTTCTTTGACAGATTGACTGGCCTAGTGGATAGGAAGATGCAGTTGATTTGGTAGATCTTCATTTTAGTAAGGTTTTTGACACAGTCCCAACTAACTCTCTCTAGCAGGAAAATGTGGTTTAGATGAAACTACTGTAAAGTGGATACACGACTAGCCAAACAGAAAACCATTATTCACAGTCAGAGTGGGAAGGTCCTGTCTAGTGAGTTCACGCTGGAGTCAGTCCTTTGTCCGGTGCTAGTCAATGTTTTCACTCTGGGTTGGGAAAAGGATGGAGAGGATACTTGTAAAAATGTGCTGAGGCCACAGATTTGGAGGACAGGATTAGAACTCAAAAGGACCTTGATAGACTTGAGAATTAGTGGCAAGCAACCAGATGAAATTTAATGAAGACAGGTGCAAAGTATTACAAGTAGAAAGGAAAAAACAGGCAAATGTGCAGATACAAAAATGAAAAGCAGCTGGCCAGGCAGAATACTGCAGAAAGAATCTGGGGGAGATAGTGGATTGAAACTGAATCTGAGCCAATAATGTGGTACAATTAGTGGGAAAAAAAAGATGCATGAGGAATGCACTAACATGTAAAACATTGGAGGAATTTGTTCTGATCTACCTGGCACTGGCGAGGCCTCCATTGGGCAACTGTGTTCAATTTCAGGTACCATGTTTTAAGAAAGTCATGGACATACTGGAGACAGTCTAACAAAGAGCAGTAAGATGGCAAAAAGTTTGGAAAATCTGATCTCTCAAGACAGGTTAAATAAACTAGGCATGTTTACTCTGGAGTAAAGAAATAGAGGCTACCTGAAAATAGTTTTAAAATATGTTAACGGCTGTTTTAAAGAGGATGGTTATTAATTGTTCTCTATATCCCTGAAACTGGGACAAGAAGTAATTAGCTTAATCTGCAGAAAATAAAATCCAACACACAACAACAAACTGTAGGTAAAGTATAAGGAATAACTTTCTAACAGGAGGATAGGTAAATACCAAAATACGTTGCCAAGGAAAACTATGGAATCCCTAGTTAAACAAACACTTAGGGTATGTCTAGGCTACATGCCTCTGGCGACAGAGGCATGTAGATTAGGCTACCCGGCATAGGAAAATGAAGCGGTGATTTAAATAATCGCCGCTTCATTTAAATTAAAATAGCTGCTGTGCTGAGCCGATCAGCTATTTGTTGGCTCAGCGCGCTAATCTGGACGCTCCGCGGTCAACAGCAAAGGTATTTGTTGACCGCCCCGTTATGCCTCGTGGGATAAGGTTTACCGGGGTGGTCAACAAATGCCTTTGATGTCGACCGCGGAACATCCAGACTAGCGCGCTGAGCCGACAAACAGCTGATCAGTTCAGCGCGGCAGCCTTTTTAATTTAAGTGAAGCAGTGATTATTTAAATCGCCGCTTCATTTTCCTATGCTGGGTAGCCTAATCTACATGCCTCTGTCATCAGAGGCATGTAGTCTAGACATACCCTTGTTGTGGATGGTCTAGACATACCTGGTCCTGCTTCAGAACGGGAGGATGGAATGAAGAACCTCTCAGGGTCCTTCCAGACCTGCATTTCTATAATTTACTCATGATGCTTTCCGTTGTGAACTTTCACCCTAACTTCATTAGTTTGTTGTCTGTTTGGATTACAAGTCCTTTGTGTCCTTGCCTTCTTGCCACTGCGTAAAAATGCCTAGAAGTCTATGAAAAAACCGTAAATATTAAGGATAAACATATTTGATGGTTATCCTCATATGCTCCT